AAAAGTTTCAAACCTTTAGATGACAAATACATTGTTTTGGGAAAGATTCGGAAGCTATTAATGGTATATGTCCCTTTTTTCAGATTTTTATTTATTGATTTTTGACTTGATTTTTACTGAACATTAGCAGTGCATATATCTGTTGGCAGTATAGAATTCGAAAACATTTGTTTTCCTGGAATTTACAAAGTAAACATTAGTGTTATTTGCTGCTGATGAGAGTTCTCTACAGTTAATCCACAATAGAGCAGCCACACTTATTGTTTATTCTTCAGATATTTAAAGAGGAACATACACATTCTTGTGTCTTTTTACTCAATGTGTTTATGTGTTTGGTGGCGAGAGAATTAAATGTGCCTTAAAAGTATTTTTTTCTGCCAAGTTAAACCTGCCTTTTTATTTTTTTTATTTTTTTTATTGGTCCTTTTTAGGTCAGATATACCAACAGTACCCGCAACAGGCTGGTTATGGTGCTCAGCAGCCGCAGGCGCCGCCTCAGCCACCTCAGCAGTACGGTATTCAGTACTCAGGTGAGCAGGTGTCCAGAGGGAGCCTGGCTCATGGTGTTTGAGCTGTTGCTGTACTTGTTAAACTTTAATCCATTCTTCTTAATTCCTTGATTTATAATACTTAACATTGTCACAGCAGATAGTAGTTATTTATTGGGGAAATAACATTTGTTTTAAAAATATTTCATATAAGTATCTTATTTTAAATCAACATTTCAGTTTTCTAGTGGGCAAGTAAAACTTATTGTAGGTGATTCTGTAATAACTTATGTACAAAGCAGTTTTTAATACCAGCTGTCCTATAGATGTGATCAATTTATCTAAGTGACTTAGAACTGCAATAATGCAAGATTTCCCCCATCATATGTAACACATAATCCTAGTGTACTCTTAGTACCTTGAAAATATTAACAGTTCCCTCATACATGAAAAGGTGATCTTTTATTAAATAAGAGCAAAATTAAGCTACTTAGGTTTTTAAATCTGAAAAGTACCAGAATTAGCCCCCCCCGCTCATAGAATCGTGTGAAACATAATTCAAGCAACAAGGAAATACAGTTTTAAAAAGGCATCCTGGGTATTTTGTTTTATTATCTGACCATTAAAGATTATCCATATTTAAGTATGGTAAATCTCTTTAATGTAGCTTTGAACATATTGATTATAATTCGTTTGTTAGAGTATTTGTGTTCAATTCTCATTTTACAGTAAAAGATTTTAAGTATCAAATTCCAACTGTAGTTAAAAATAGTTTGCCTAAGTTGAATCTTGCCTAAATTCTATTTTATGTAGTTTTGTAGTATAAACCAGAGCAGGAATTGGTGAACTATAACCCACATACCAAATCAGGCTTGTCCCCTATTTTTTTTGAGTAAAGTTTTATTGGAACACATCTATACCCATTGATTGTTGTCTCTTGCTGATTTGGCATTATAATGGAAGAGTTGGGTAGATGCAGCAGGCTGTGCGGCCCACAAAATCTAGAATATTTGCTGTCTGATCCTTTACAGGAAAAAATTTTTTGTCCGTCCCTGAACTAGACCATAAAGTTGTAGTTTGACATATATTAACCCATATAGCAAGTTTTGTTTGGATTATATTTGCTATAGAGTGATTTAACCTGTAGCTGCTAGTTTTTAATTATCTAAAATAGGTGGAGTGAATTTAAACTTGGATTATATTAGAGGGAAGATCATTTTTAGGATATAGTCTTTTAAAGTAAAATCAGAATGTTACAAATTATGTAAATTGTAGAAATAATAGAAATCAGAGCTGAAGAGACCTAGACATCATCTAATAATAATCCAGGGGATTTCAGCCCTCAGTGTGTTTTAGAATTACCTAGAGACCTCTTTTTTTTATTTGAAAGTTACAGGTGCCTGGGCCCTTACTCCCAAAGATTTCATTTTCATTTGGTCAGGGGTAAGACTCAGGCTTTGATATTTTAAAAGCATTGCAGGTCATTCTAAAGTACAGCCAGAGTTGGAGACCACTGATCTTTTCCCATACACTCATTTTATAAATGAGGCAACTAGGGTTCAAAGAAGGTGTGAAGTATTGAAGGACACACAGCCATTCAGTGGGGTTGCTAGATCAATACCCAGTGCACTTGAATTTGCAGTTACTTATTTCCCTATCTCATTCTGCATTCTCCAGCCTGGATCAGGGGTTGGCAGACTTTTTTTCCATAAAAGGCTAGATAGTAAATATTTTAGGCTTTGTGGACCATGTGATCCTTTGTCCTATACTATTCATTTATTCAGAACACAGTTTTATTTCTTGAAATTTCTGGTGGTCTTCACCAGAGTTGCTCATTTTTCAAAGGAGAGCATGGTGGTAGGAGGGAGACTATACACATAATAGAAGCATTGCCACAATGGTCAAAGGGTCCAGTACGTTGCTAATGAAACAGCACCTTAGACTCTTACGGGTAGAACCTCTCTTGAGAAATAATTAAGGATTAAGGATCTGGTTCTTTCCACTCAGTTAAAAAGCCAGTTTAGATTTCAGTTGATGAAAAGGCAGGGTCTTAAGTTGAATAGACAAGTTAAAGCTGAGTCCTTTTGTTTCTCCAAAAACTTATAGAAAATTTTTTTTTAATTTATGTAGGAGATAGGAGAAATTGTATGACATTCAAGATTTGAACATGAATTGACTTTAGTTCAGTATTTAGATGCTACCATAAGTAAAATGCATTAGATATTTACTTATTAAAAATTAAGCTTGCTCTTAATGAGTTTAGTCAGGGTCTCCACTCTGAGTAAAATTTAGTTCTTTTCAGATTACCTTTATATTTCTAATTCCACTAGTTTTATTAACTTGAATTTGATCGGGAGGTATGGGAATAGTCTCTGTTTGGAGACTAAGTGGTATTGGTAACATTGGACCATTTTTGACACTGTTGGTTTGCCAGTTTCCCTCTGACTTTTTCCAGTTTTATTCATGGACTATGTCAAAAGGCTTTCTTTCATGAGTAAATTTTGAACCCAGGTTCAAGGTGAGTTCAGAATATACTCAACTTCATTCAATCCTTTTTTTTTTAAATGCAGGGTTGGACGTATTTTAATAATTTTCTTATGTATCTGGTATTTAATGCTGACAGGATTCCAGTCAATGGAGAGTTTTCATTGCAAGTAGCTGCAGGTGTGTTTCATGGTAGAGATAAAAGTTTTTAGTGAAGCCGACTTTTTCTTTTTGAAAACATTTACATCCTTAGTATGTAATGAATATAAGATGTTGATTTTGTGGGGCAATATGGTATGCTTTTTGTGTGTTATGTTGTTACTGCTAAATAAAAAATTTAAGTTATAAAGGCAAAAGAATCAGATACCAAATCTAAAATGAAAGGTTTTAAGGGTTGTGAAAATGGGTACTTAATGTTTATTCTTAAATGGCTTAGGTTTTGTTTTTATAGAGTGACTAAATCTTTAAAGCATCTCAGTAGCACAATAAGATGTATTTGTAGTACCATCGTTTCATTAAAATTTTCATTTTCTGCAATGTGTTTTTATTTGGTACTGTTGTTAAATAGGCCTTCCCTCAAAATCAGGTTAGTGAACAGTTTTTGCATTAATTCCAGCCTTTATCATTTGCGCATCTACTCTATATTAGGAATTATGCTAGAATAGGCATTTGCTCTTAGGTAATATATAATCTAGAATCAGTTGTAATGAAGAAATACATGTATAGTGGTTTCAGTTTAAGATGAAAGGATTTAAAAAAAATTAGAAAATTTTTGATACTACTTGGTCTTGAAATATATAATAGAATTTACTACTCTACTTGTTTTATAAATACTCAGGAGTAAGTTTATTAAATTTCTCATCACTTTTGGTCCATAACAGTAAAGACTGATTCCCTGGAAAATTTTCACCAACAGAAAAATAACATATATATCTCATTTATTTTGCCTATTCAGCAGGCTATAGTCAGCAGACTGGACCCCAGCAGCCTCAGCAATTCCAGGGATATGGCCAGCAACCAACTTCCCAAGCACCAGCTCCTGCCTTTTCTGGTCAGCCTCAGCAACTGCCTGCTCAACCGCCACAGCAGTACCAGGCGAGCAATTATCCTCCACACACTTACGCTACCCAAACTTCTCAGCCTACTAATTATACTGTGGCCCCTGCCTCACAACCTGGAATGGCTCCAAGCCAACCCGGGGCCTATCAGCCAAGACCAGGTTTTACTTCACCTCCTGGAAGTACCATGACCCCTCCTCCAAGTGGGCCTAACCCATATGCACGTAACCGTCCTCCCTTTGGTCAGGGCTATACCCAACCTGGCCCTGGTTATCGATAAAGAGGCACAGCTACAGGGATGAATGTAGCTGCTAGCCGTTCACCTCTCAAAAGACTCCAATACTATTTTAATTTGTATTCGAAGTTGAGAAATTTAAAAAGCAGAGCATTTTTTTTTTATGATATTGTTGCTGTTAATTGAAAGTATAATTTGCTAGAACAAAAAAGACCAAAACAAAAGTTTTTTCCTCCCCTGCTTAAAAGTATAGCAGCTTCCTAGTAATTTTGGAACACTACTCTTACATGTGTGTAAAGTGATTGACTTTCTAGCTTGCCTTGTCCAGAGGATATTAAAATGATAGGTTGAAGTTTAGCCATCTTACTTGGCTTTTTTACTATTAACATGATGTACTAAAAGTAGATCCCTTCGAGAAGACTAGATATTATGTAACATTGAAAGGTTAATAAAGTTGATTGAATCCATTAGTGGTTTTGTAATTTAATTTAGTTACTAACATATGCATGAGAAAAACAAAAAACAAATCCTTATTGATGTTGTCTGAAAATGAAGTATAGATGGTTTAACTTTAATACTAACTATTAACTTACAGTGCTGTTTGAAACTTAAAAATAGATGTCACAGGAAATTAGCATTATATATAAACACAGCAGATAATAGTATTAAGGGGGATTTGGTAGATCCTGAATAACTGATTTTCCTTATACAGAGGAACCTTTCAGAAATAAAGAACTCAGCCTTAAAAAAAAAAAAAATCTCTTTATTGCAGAGTTTCTCCTTATTTGAAAAATATAGACTGTAGCGTTGATAAAATTGAAGCATGTTGAAAGGTAAGCCCAAGGTCCTTTCAGAATGAGGGCAACAAAGCAGCATTCCCACCTCCCTCCCCAAATGAAGAAAATACCGTTTAAATAAAAATGAATTTGATTTTCAGTACAGGTTGAGTTATGAAAACATCCTCTGATTCATTCCTACAAGTCTTATGTGTAAAAATATAGTAAATCCTGTAAAGTGGTAGCATTCTCATCATGCATCTTTTTGTGCTCGGACTTCATTCATTCTCTGCATACAGCTTGATTAGAATTACATTAAAAACAATATGAAGACAGTTGTTTGAATATACTTTGTTAAGTATAGTTTGACAAAGTATATTCAGACATTGTAACATTTCTGGATAGAAAAAAATTATTAAAACCGAATATATTCTGAATTCTATTTTTAGCTGAAATGAAATTTACTGATTCAAACAATCTTAACTTACAAATATTTAAGGAAATGTGTATTCACATGATTCAGAAAAGCTATTCGACTGTTGCTGATTAGTTTAAATAAATGTATTAGGGCCTTTTTTTCCCTTCATACATATATGAAGATAATTTGATCTAATAAGTTAAACCAAGTAGAGATTTATGGAATTAACTCACCAGTAGGAAGAATATGCATTAATAAAAGTAATTTTTTAAAAGTATATTAGTTTTTGATGTTAATTGTTATAAAAGTATCTCAGAACATCATTACAACAGTGTGATAAATAATATACAGATGATCTCATAAAATACCATGAATAGGGAGCCAGCTTCCCCAAAAAATGTTACTGTTAATATCTTGCTTAAAAATGACTTTGTAAAACCTGATAAATATTCTCAGCAATCTTTCTAATAAACATCTAGTATTGCTATCAATTAAATTTTAAACTTTTATACATAGTAAACAGAACAGCTTTAAATGAATGACAAATACCATAGTGTTTCCACTTATTTTTTGCCGTGATGAAACAGAAGGCACTTGTGAACATGATTGCAGCATCTACCATTTTCCAGGAATTGTAGTCCCACATTCATACCACTGAACGTAATTGATTTGGGTGTGACCACCAATTTCTCCAAATTGAACAGGTTCCTGGCGAACTGCTCTGAAATAGCCTAAGAGGGAAAATAAGTTAATTTTAATAGCTACTATGTTACATTTTTGCTCTCACCACTCATAGAGTGGAGTGTCATTGAATGGCTGAAAGTTACTCCAGGTGAAGCAGTATTTTAGAAAATAGCAACAGAGGCTCTGGTGTCTTCCCTGAAGTAATAATGGATGGCTAAACATCTGCTGACCTGAAACTCCTCGACGTCTCCCTTAAGTTGACGGTGTCTGAGAAACAAAGCTGGAAAGGGACAGGCATCAGAGGGATTTTGTTTTTTGACTGTCATTGACCACGTTCAGTATATTCTCTTATCTGAAAGTGTACTTTTTGCACATCACAGACTTGCGGTGGTCTGTGAAGAACTGACCTGAATAAAGGCACTATATTTACTGCAATGTTAAGAAACAAAAGAAGGGTAGTTCTTAGATTGCTAAATTTCTAAGAATTAAACTTAGGCAAAATCTTTCTTCAAGCACCCTACACTAAATGATTAAAAGCTTCTCTTTGAATGTAAAATATTATAGAAATATACACAATTTATAATTGTGTATGCTTATATAAAGTATGCTTTATATTTAATTACTTTGTGACAGTAGTTTCAACTTTCTGTGTTAATGGGTTCACAGATCTTATTAAGTCATCTTTTACTATGTTTGGTATTTTTAAGTGTGCCATTGAACAAAACGTGTTGCTGAAAAGACTAGTCAAATAATTTTAAAGTATTTAAAGAACATCTCTGTGATCCCCAAGTAATATGGACATTTACCTTTTGCCCTGCCTGGACAAGAATCTTCATCTTTTCAATTCTCAGTAAGCATCTTAGTACTAATGTGTCTTCAGCATTACAGTGGTTGTTCATTTCTTAGCAGAATTGTTCTATTTTAATTGTATTTCTATGATTAAGGCAAATACATTTTTTTAAATTTTATTTTATCTGTGGTAGTAATAAAGTTTTCTTAAATTTGTCAAAGGAGTTAAATGCCCATGTGCTCAGTATTGACAAGACCCATAAAAGTAATATATTAATGCTTTAAGTTTAGGAAACTGCTCTGTCAGCCGTTTTTGCAAATTCGGGTTTTCTTGAAATAGAATGCATTTATATATATGCCTGTAATATTCCTTGGCTCTAAGGAATATAATCTTAGGTACTGGGAGGAAAGTTGAGAATCTTATTAAGTCTTTATATTAAGGTCTTATGAATTATTTTTCCCCCAGATAATGAGAATACTAGTACTACAGAATTATTTTTAAAGTGATTGCTTTTCTTAGCTTGAATTCATTTTGGGTTAATTATGAAACCCTCTTGCTCATGAGGAGCCCTAGAAAACATACCTTTTTTGGTGGGTAACTGATCAGAAGTCAGTTGCAGTCCTGTGCGTCCATCTAAAAATGAGTCCACAAACTGGCAGTGGTCTTCTCCATGGCCTCTTTGATCGCCTATGTTATAAAATTTTCCTGAAGAGCCAAAAATTAAAAGGATCATAAAGTGTTTTCTTTCATATGGGATAAATCTAAAATAATGAAATTGTTTAAAATAATCAGTCTTTCCTGTTCTTATACTTTTTCTCCCCTTTCACCCTACCTAGTTCAAGCTGCCAGTGTCTCTTGACTAAACTACAGAATAGCCTACTATTCTTCCTCCCCTCCTCCTCCTCCCATGTACTGCATCTTTTAAAAATGTAACTCAGATGTTACTCTCCTATAAATCTCTCCAACAATCTCCTATTATACTCAGAATAAAACCTAAAGTCTTTACCTGGTTTGAAAGTTCCACATGATTTCACGCTTCTCTGCCTGGTCTTCCCCATACTGAGCCTTAGTCACACTAGTGGAACTGGCTAGGAGTGTTCCTGGCATTGCTTTTCCCTCTGCCTCTAGCTTTATCCCTAGGTCTTTGTTTCGTTGGTGCCTTCTCAGAATTTTCTAATTCACCGAAGTGTTACCTTTTCAGAGAGACTTCCCCTGACCATTCTAACTAAAGAAGCTTCCATTCAGTTGTTTTCTTCCACACTTTTAAGTTTCTTCAAAATAACTACATGAAATTCTTATTTGCATATTTGTTGTCTGTCTCTTCTTACTAGATCGTAAGTTATAAGGCAGGAATGTGTCTCGTTTGCTGCTTTGTCCCCAGCACCTAGGACAATGTCTGAACAAAGCAGGTACTATTTGTTGAATGATTAAACAAATGTCTACCTTTCTATATTGGGGCCAGCCTTATTTATTTGTTCAAAATCTTTATGAATATAGAAGAGAAAATAACCCACTAAATCTGGAGCAAGGGGTTTTTTAGCCTTTCAGGCTAGTTGTTTTAATCTTGATCTTGTCTTTGGCAGACTGAAAATTTTAATTTAGTCATATTCTTTCCATAATTATTGTTAGAAATACTTATTATCAGTAGGCTTTTTGTTCTTGGTTGGCTGTAACAGAATTGAACATGAATGTGGCTAGTGTCTTTACATTCAAGTTTGCCATGTTGGCACTGTTACAAATTGCATTTTCATTATTTACTTTCTAATAGCATGTCTCAAATCCTTGTTTTCTAGACTTAAGTATTTCAATAATATCTTGCTCAAAAAGAAAACTTATTTACATCACACCTGACTGTCTGGAACTGTCCAAGCAAAATGCCAAGTTACAGAATGCTTCAAAGCATTACCTGAAGGACATGGCTCAAAACAGCCGGTAGCTCTGCTCACCTGTGAGGGTGTCGCTCAGATAAATCTTGTATCTGAGAGAGTTGCACAGCTGTACCCCTACAAACTTTTTATACCACGTCCTTTTGACATACTGTTTTCCCTTACATTCTGAGTAAGAGTCCGAATTAAAGGGTCTTTCGGTCCAGATGGCATCTCTTCCTCCTACATAAGAAAAACATGGGTTGAATTTAGTATCTGACTTTAGATACTGAAGCTGTCTTAAAAGCTTTTTGAAAAAGCAGTTTTCAATGTTTACTGTCAACTTACTGATACCTGGTTTTCTCCAATGCTGAATATTGGAGCCAAAAATATAGGAGTTTAAACACATAAATCTCCAATTAAGTTCTTGTTAATAGTGATATAAATCTTAAAGGAATATTTTTAGGTGTTAAATAGGCTATGCAGTGCTAGATGTAGACAGCATCCCAAGTAAATTTAGTTTTTTTTTTGCAGCATATACAATTTAAACAGCTGCTTTAATGTGATTTATTATTAAAAGTGGAAATGAGGGTGTTATAGCTTTACAATTATTAAATAGAAAATTTGGTACCTGAATGAAAACAAGTTTCAAAATATCCAGCTTGTTCCCAAAACATAGGCTGGGTAAGCATTCACACCTGATTGATATTCTAAGAAGACTCAGTGGACCAAAGTGAAATGGCTGAAGTTCTGCCATGTCTATATAGTTGAGTCAGTTTAGAAAAGCATGTGGTTGTGTTCACATTGAGAGCAGGTACTTACCAGAAACTGGCTCGCTCACTCTTGGATCCGCTGAGGAGAAACAGCAAATAATCAGACATTATTAGTTTCTAGTGGCACAGTGAAGAAAGTGAGTACTTAGAGTTGTTAAGAAATTTTACTTGCAAAATGGTATACTCTTGAAGAGTGAATTGGAATGTGTGTGGTTTTGGAACTTGTTCTCAATTGGAGAATCTCCTTCTGCCAGTTACTTGGGTGTGTTATTTGTGATTTGAGTAGTTAAAAGTCTTCATTGCTGTTCTAGCTTTCACTTCCATTTTAAAAGCTTCCTCTTTTAGCTTCACACAAAAACAATTGATGGTAAAATCACCAAGATGCCATGAACTGCATGCAGTTGATGTAAAAATTATACAAATGATGTTGTGTGTACAGATGTATCTCGTTAGGGAACTGGAACATGGGTCAAATAAGAGAATTTCACAGCTGCTTAAAATAAGTATCAAATGAATTCCCTTTCCAGATGTGGCTCAGCATGTCTGATATTTTGATTCTAGGCATTGATGTTGGCATACAGAGGAGCATTCATTCACTAGATTTTTGAGTATAGATTGAATACACTTTTTTTGGAACCGATACACCCTTTTTCCCCTGACATCAAAATAAATGAGGAAAAACATAAATAGTGTTTCCTTAAAGGTACTGTCATTAATTTGCTTTTTCCCATAGATGATTTTCTGAAATTCAAGAAACTCTTTACACAGTGTTAAGCTGGGTTTTAGGCAAGCTCTCTATGCAAAACATCTTGGCCCTTCGTGTTGTTGTTGGGAATTTCTCTTGATGTGATTACCTGATTCAGTACTGAATGCCACTGTGTTGCTGGCTGGGCCTTCCCCAAGTGGGTTTTTGGGTTTCACTTGGAATTCATAGCTGTATAGGGGAGAAATTAAAATAAAATTGTAGTATATTCTTCAAGGGTAAGAAATAACATTGCCTTGTTATACTAACATCCTTCTTGATTCTGTTTGAATGGACATATGTCCTAGAAACACGAGGGGAAAAATTTTACTTTCCAAATAGCTTGTCTAATATTTTGTATAAGAATATTATACAAATATTCAGACTAATTCCAGCAACAAGGGCCCTCCATTTTCTTTAGATGTTTCAGCTACTTCCTGGGGTAAAGGAGTGGAAAGATTCCTTTTTATTCCTTATGATCCCAACCCTGGGTAGAACCTTAGACTTAGGCAGTGTTCCTCATTGTGGGGTTTGAATTACCTATGTCAGAACTGCATAATAGAGTGGCAGTGGGCAAAGTTTATTTTAAATGCAGATTTCGTGTTCTATCCTAGCTACTGAATCATCGCTTTTTTTGAGGTGGTCTGGGTAAGAATTTGTAACAAATTCCTAAGGTGAATCCTATGTCCACTGACATTCGAGAACTACTAGACTAAGCTATGGGAACTGATGCACATGAAAATATTTCTTTGTGATGACTTCCTGGGTGTATCTCTTGGAACTCAGGTCCCTTGTAGATCACAGGAAACGATGGTATCTCCAGAATTGGGGGCATGGTAGTGTCACATGAGCATGAGCATAAGGACAGATTTCTTTCTCTATAAACCAGATTCATTGGGCCAGGCCCTTGATCCTTTATCTTTAAAACAAACAAACAAATAAACAAACAAAAAACCAACTTAGATCCCTTGGAATTACAAGTATGTTTGATTCTGGCCTTAAGAAGTACACATTGAATTGCTATGCTCTTTGACAAATTTCATTCATAGAATACTTAAGCAAAGCAAATTATTTTAAGAAATTCCAACAGTAAAACTATTTGCCATTTGCCTAAAACTAAGAGTTCCTTTCAGTAGCAGACTTAGCGGGAAAATATTTTGAATGTAAAATCAACTTGAGTCAGCTGTTAGTATTGTGAATTTCAGATTTGTACAGGCCTTTTGGGAGAAAATTCCCATTTTTGAGGAATTTGTAATTGGATAAGAATACAGAACAAAAAGGAGAAAGACATTTTATAAATAAGTGAAAAAACAAAAGGATGATAGCTTTTAGTTTGGTACAGAGGATACCAAGTGAGCAATAATAGAACTCTCTGGAGCTCAAGGAATCAGTTTTTTGACTACTGAGGCATTGCAGTAAAATACTGCTAGACTCTATATAAGGTAGATTCTAGCATTACAACAATGGCAAGCACTTTATGAGTACATGCTATATACCAGTCATAATCATTCTACAAATATAAAACAATACACAAATCCCGAGAGACCAATATTACCCTATTTTTTAGTTCAAAACTATCAGGCTCTTAACCATTGTACTGTCTGCTTTTACAAACTTTGTGAGATGAAGATTAAAATTTGCAAGCTTTTTAGTGAGAAGACTGCACATGAAAGCATTTTGTAAGCTAATCAATTAACACCAAGGTGCTATTGTTATTTGCAATGAGAGAATGCTGATATAAAACCACCCGTGTCACTCATTTAAGTAAATTGCATGTACTTAGGGTGTTTTGGCCTGGAATATTTTCTAGAGATGAAATTCTTCCTCAGAAGCCCGATGACCTTAAAACAAAAAACAAACCAGTATAATGAACTGAAAATGGAAAAAAAAAAAAAAATCACAGGCATCTGGACTGTGATTCAAGTGGGCAATGCACTCCACATTCCAGGCCATTGCCAAAACCTGTGCTTTGGCCAAGCCCGATTGCTGGAATCATTACTATATTACTATATCTTTTTACTTCACAGTTAATTACATTTCAGCTCTATTTGTAGTGTGGCCACAAATATTCATAAGCAACTTTTTGTTTTTTTTTGCCAACACTGATACTTGACAAGTTTTGAAGAAATCACTTTAAGTTTAATTAATGGCATGGGAACTAAAAGGCATATATTTTTGGCTGACTAGACCCTATATACACAAAGTATTTGAAGTAGCAAAACTTCTCAAGAAGCACATTCTTTTACAAGATTTATGACACGAGGTCTAAGAGTAATGTCTCAAAGAAAATACTGACTTTTACATAGGAAATAAGCACAGGATGCTGTTTTAAAATTATAGAAGACAATAAAAATAAGTCGAATAAAATTTTAAATAGATTTGAAAGATCAAGTTAAGGAAATTTTACAAATACTGTAACAAAAAGTCAAAGACATGAAAAATGAGAAAATAAATTGGATTATTTCAGGGAATACAATAACTAGTAGGTTCTAGAAGAGAAGTGAGGGGAAAATGAGGGTAGAAAGTTATTCTAGAAATTATATAATTCCTCAGAATTGAAAGACGTGGGTTTCGAGGTTTAAAAGGCCTAATGTATGCCCAGCAGAATGAAAAAAAAAGAAAAAAACTATCCAAAGCATATAAGTTGGACAATTTTAGAGTACTGGGATAAAGACAAGATCTTAAAAGTTTCTGAAGTCTACAGCTATACCACCCTGAACAAGCCCGATCCTGTCTGGTCTTGGAAGCTATGCAGGGTCGGGTCTGGTTAGTACTTGGATGGGAGACTACCTAGGAATACCAGGTGTTGTAGGCGTAGAAAATAAAAAAATAAGGGATTGTAAGCTGACAAGGTCCTTGCAATCTGTGAGGTCAACCAAGGGTTGCCTCACCTAAAAAAAAAAAAAAAAAAGTTTCTGAGAAGAAAATAGGTCCCATTCAAAGGATCCAGAATCAGAATAACATTTACCTCTTAGCATCACTGAAAGTTAGAAAACAGTGAAACAATTCTACAAACTGAATGTACAGCTACACAGAGCAATTTCCAACAAAACAGGTACAGAAACTAGCCAGGTGGCTCCTATACATTGGGCATAAGAGAGAACACCCACGTTGAAATGGGTAGGAGAAGTTGTGACACAGTCCATAAACCCTGCCCCTGCACAGCACTGTACAATCAAGTGAACCCCCAACTAGCAGCTTTCCTTTGAAGAGCAAAGGGTTTGGACCCCACATCTACCACCCTTTTAAGTCTCACATGAGGGATGGCCCCCCTAGACACCATGATCTAAAAGCTAATGAAGGTTGTGCCCATGAGACCTTCAAGAACATAGCATACAAGCACATGAGCACTTACCATGGCTGTCCCCTCAGGAATCGGTGCAGAGGAAGCAGGCAAAAATGCCCATCTCCCACTTTCCCTGAAAGGGATTTGTAAGCATATTTTAAAAGCTGCCACCTGAAGATGAAGCTTCCAACTTCAGCACATATCTAGTGGTTGGCTCTGATCCTCCCCAGAGACTGGGAAACCAGCAGACACCTTTCCTGCCCTTTCTGTCCAGCCTGCTACAACAATAAAACCAAATCATTGTATCTCCCTGGAAGGAGTTTGTACAAATGACTGGCACTCCAGCTTTTGTGGCTGTTGCCCAAGGGCTGGGCCCCAGATTACCTAGCTCTGAGAGCCAATGGGGCTTACATTCCCGAGTCCCACAGTACTATAGCAAATGAAGCAATTCTTTGAAGGTGCAGGAGCATCCCTTCCCTCCCCCCACAGCTATATCCTAGGCCCAGCACAGAGAGAGTATGCAAAAATGCCCATTCCCTGTGTCTCCCTGAATGGGGCTTTACTATATAATTTCTCATCTGCTACCTGAGGCTCCAGTTTATAAATAGCCTGCATCTAGATCCTCGCCTTTGGGACACTGATGTGTTTTGGCACACCCTCCACTACTGGGAGCCACTAAGGACAAGGAAGATGGTTTGGACAATCTCAGAGGTTTGAGAGACAACCAGGAGTTTGATCTGGGCTGATCGAAGAGGTTCATTTCCTATATGAGACCATTCTATCAAGACTGGGAGAGGTGGCCATTTTACCTAATATTTAGAAACCAACAAAGAGAATCAAAGAAAATAAAGAGGAATATGTTCCAAACAAAAGGAAAACCTCCAAAACAGATTTTGAAATGAACATAAGTGATTTACCTGAAAGTTCAAAATAACAGTCATAGAGATGTTGAGCAAGGCCAGGAGAACAATGCATGAATAAAGTGAGCATTTCAACAGAAAATATTAAAACAAGTGCAAAACAGAAAACACACAGCTGAAGAATACAATAACTGAAAAATTCATTGGAGGAGTTTAACCACAAACTAAATCAAGTGGAAGAAAGGATCAGCACACTTTAAGACTGGTAGAATTCAATCAGGCGCAAACAAAAAAAAATAGAAAAGAGTAAAGAGAGTTTAAGAGACATGTGGGACACCATCAAGCAGACCAAGATAGATGTTATAGGGGTTCCAGAAGGAGAAGAGAGAAAGGGACAGGAAGCTTATTCAAAGAAATAATTGCTGAAAACTTCCCTAACCTGGAGAAGGAAACACATCCAGATCCAGGAAGTACAGAATTCCAAATAAAGACGATCCAAAGAGATACACAGTGAGACACATAATTAAATTGTCGTAAGTTAAAGACGAGGGAATCTTGAAAGCAGCAAGAGAAAAGAAAACCTGCTATGCACAAAGGAGCCTCCATAAGATTATTAGATTTTTCAGCAGAGGCTTTCAGGCCAGAAGGAAGTGGCATGATATATTCAAAGTGCTGAAATAAAAACTAACCGGCAAAGCTGTCTTTCAGAATTGAAGGAGAGAGAGTTTCCCAAACAAAAGCTGAAAGAGTTTATCACCACTACACCAGCCTTAAAAGAAATGTTAAAGAAAATTCTTCAAGCTGAAACTAAAGAATGCTATATTAGTTACAGGAAAGTGTATGAAAGTATAAAACTCACTGGGAAAAAGTAAATATATAGTTAAATTCAGAATACTGTTGTAATCATGGTGGGTAAATAACTTATGAAGGTTAAAGGGTTAAAAATAACTATACTACAATAATTTGTTAATAGGTACACAATGTTAAAAGATTTAAATTGTGCCATCAAAACCAAAATGTGGAGGGGAGAGTAAAAATGTAGAGCTTCTGCATGCATTTGAAATGATTATCAGCTTAAAATTGATATTTATAAATAGATGTTTTATGTAAGCCTCATGGTAACACAAAGTAATAACCTGTAGTAGATACACAAATGATAAAAATAAGGAATTTAAGCATACCACTACAGAAAATCATCAAATCACAAATGAAGAGCGCAGGAGGGAGAAACAAACCAAAAGAATTACAAAATAACTAGAAAACAATGAACAAAATAGCAATAATAAGTCCATACCTCTCAATAATTACTTTAAATGTATATGGACTGAATTCTCCAATCACAACATATAGAGCATATAGAGTAGTTTAATGGATAAAAAAAACAAGACCCAAATATATGCTGCCTAAAAGAGCTTCATTTCAGCTTTAAGGACACACGGACTAAAAGCGAAAGGATGGAAAAGATATTTTATGCAAAAGGAAACCAAAGAAAGCAGGGGTACTTATATCAGATAAGATAAATTTTAAATCAAAGACTATAACAAGAAATAAGGTCATTTGTATAATGACAAATTTGTTACTTCAAGAGGATATAATATTTATAAATATAACATCTGAAAGGAAAGATAGCAATACAATAAGGGCAGGGGATTTAAATACCCCACTTTTGAGAATGGATAATCATCCAGACAGCCAATCAATAAGGAAACATTAAACTATGTATTATATCAGATGGACTGAACAGACATACAGAACATTACATCTGATGGCAACAGAATATACATTGTTCTCAAGCACACATGGAATATTCTTTAGGACAGATCATATATTAGGCCACAAAACAAATCAAATTTTAATAAATTTAAGAAGTTTGAAATTATATCAAGCATTTTTTTCTGACCATAATGGTAAAAAACTGGAAATCAGTTACAAGAAGGAAACTGTGAAATTCACAGATATGTGGAGATTAAACAACATGCTACTAAGCAGCCAGTAGGTCAAAGAAGAAATCAGAGTAATCAAAAATATCTTCGGACAAATGAAAATGGAAATAGAACATACCAAAATTTATGGGATGCATCAAAAGCAATCTGAAGAGGAAAGTTTATAGATACAGATGCCTATATTAAGAAAAAATATGTCAAATATCTTAATTTTACAGCTCAAAGAAGTAGAAAAAGAACAAACTGAGCCCAAAGTTAGTAGAAGGAAATAAGATTAGAGTAGAAATAAATGAAAGAGACAAAAAAAAATCGATGAAACTAAGCTGTTTTTTTTTAAAAGATAATTTACTAAACTTTAGCTGGAATAATTAAGAAAAAAGACTCAAAATCAGAAATGAATGAAGAGACATTACAACTGATACCACTGAAATACAAAGGATCATGAGATTACTATGAACAATCAAACTCCAACAAATTGGTTAATGTAGAATAAAAGGGATAAATATCTAGAAACACAACCTACTAAGACTGAACCAGAAAGAAATAGATAATCTGAACAATTACTAGTAAAGAGATTGAATCACTAATTAAAAACCTCCCAACAAAATCCCAGGACCAGAGAGTATCACTGGTGAACTCTACCAAACAGTTAAAAAAGAATGGATGTCATCCTTGCGCAGGAGCCATGCTAATCTCTCTGTGTCATTCCAATTTTAGGATATGTGCTGCCAAAGCGACCTGTCAGAGTGGCTGTCATCAATAAATCAAATAACAAGTGTTGGCAAGGATGTGGAGAAAAGGGAACCCCATACACTGTTGGTGGGCTTGCAAATTGGTACAGCCACTATGGAGAACAGTCTGGAGGTCCATAAAAAAATTAAAAGTGGATCTACCTTTTGACTCAGCAATTACACTTCTGGGTATTTATCCAAAGAAAACCAAAACAATAATTTGTAAAGATCTATGCATCCCTATATTTGTGGCAGCACTATTTACAACAGCCAAGATATGGAAGCAGCCTAAGTGTCTATGAACAGATGATTGGATAAAGATGTTATGGTTCATGTATACAATGGAATATTACTAAGCCCTAAAAAAAAAAAAAAAATGAAATCCTACTATTTCAACTACATGGATGGACCTAGGATCTATTATGCTGAGTGAAATAAGTCAGACATAGAAAGATAAATACCATATGATTTCACTTATATGTGGAATCTAAGGAACAAAAAGAACAAACTAATCAAAAACAGACTCACAAATATAGAGGACAGTCTGGTGATGGCAAGAGGGGAGGAAAATGGTGGGGTGGAGAATGGGATGAAGGGTTAAAGAAGTACAAATTATGCTGGATGGTCACAGGGATGGGGAGCAGAGCATAAGGAATGCGGTTAGCATTAATATATTAGCTAGGTGGAAAACCAGAGCAATCAGGGGGATCATGTATTAAACTATATAAATGTCTAACCAATGTACTGTATACTTGAAACTAATAAGAAGAAGAATGCCAATCCTTCTCTTCCAATAAAGTGAACTGGAGGGGATACTCCCAAACTTATTTTACAAGGCTGGCATTACTGTGATACCAAAGCCAGAGAAGGACACTACAAGAAAAGAAAATTACAGGCCAGTATTCTTGATGAAAATAGATGCAAAAATCCTCAAAAAAATATTAGCAAACTGAGTTCAACAATACATTAAAAGGCTCATACAACATGAACAAGTGAGATTCATCGCAGGGATGCAAATATGGTTCAACATCCACAAGTCAATAAATGTGATACACTAACAGCGAAATGAGGGATAAAAACCATGATTATCATATGTAATCTCAATAGATGCAGAACAAGCGTTTGGCAAAATTCAACATATTTTCATGAGAAAAACTCAAAAAAGTGGGTATAGAGGGAACATAGCTCAACATAATAAAGGGCATATATGACAAGACCACGCCTAACAATATACTCAACAGTGAAATGCTGAATGAAAGCTTTCCTTCAAAATCTGGAACAAGAATGCCCACTCTCACCACTTTTATTCAACATAGTACTGGAAGTCCCAGCTAGAGCAATTAGGCAAGAAAAAGAAAAGACATCTAAATTGAAAGAAAAATAAAACTCTCTAACTGCAGATGATGTTATGTCTAGGAAACAAAGACTCCACCTCAAAACTGTTAAAACTAATAAACAAATTCAGTAAAGTTGCAGGATACAAAATCAATATGTAAAAATTGGTTGTGTTTTTATATAACAACGAGCTTTCAGAAAAAGAAATTAAGAAAACAATCCCATTTACAATAGCATCAAAAAATAAAATACATAGGAATAAATTTATCCAAAGAGGTGAAAGATTTGTACACTGAATACTATAAGACATTGATGAAAGAAATTGAAGATACAAATAAATGGAAATATATTCCAAGTTCATGGATTAGAAGAATTAATTTTGTTAAAATATCCCTAATACGCAAAGCAATCTATAGATTCAGTGCAGTCCTTATTGAAATTTAAATGTCGTTTTTCAAAAAATTGAACACAGAATCCTAAAATTTTCATGGAGTCACAGAAGACCCCAAAGAGCCAAAGTGATCTTGATAAAGAAGAACAAAGCTAGAGGTATCACGCTCCCTGATTTTAAACCATATTACAAAACTATAGTAATCAAAACAGTATGGCATTGGCATAAAAACAGATACATAGATCAATGGAACAGAATAGAAAACCCATAAATAAACCCATGCATATATGGTCAATTAGTTTATGACAAAGAAGCCAAGAATATAAAAGGGGAAGGGACAGATACATGCAAAAGAATGAAACTGGACTACTATCTTACATTACTATAAAAAGTTAATTCAAAATGGATTAAAGACTTGACCATAAGACCTGAACCCATAAAGTTTGTAGAAGAAAACAGAGGTAAGCTCCTTGACATCCAGTCTTGGAGATGATTTTTCTTTTTTGTTTTGGATTTGACACCAAAAGCAAAGACAACAAAAGCAAAAATAAACAAATGGGACTGTATCACGCTAGAAGTTCTGCACAGCAAAGGAAACTGTCAACAAAATGAAAAGGCAACCTATAGAATGAGAAAATATTTACAAACCATGTATTCAATAAGGGGTTAACATCTAAAATATATTAGGAACTGATACAACTCAATAGCAAGAAAGCAAATAACCAAATAAGAATAATGGGCAAATCACCTGAATAGACATTTTTCCAAAGAAGACATACAGATGGCCAATAAGTACATGAAAAGGTGCTCAACATCACTAATCATCAGGGAAATGCAAAATCACAATGAGATATTACCTTATACCTGTAAGGATGTCTATTAACTAAAAGACAAGAGATAACAAATGCTGGCAAAGATGTGGAGTAAAGTGAATCCTTATACGCTATTCCTAATTGTCAGTCGATGGAGGAGTGGAAAAAGAGAATGTGGTATATGTATTTAATGAAATATTATTCAGCCTCAAAAGTGAAAGAAATTCTACATTTGCAATACATGGATTGAACCTGGAGGACATTATGCTAAGTGAAATGAGGCAGAGAAAGACAAATACTGAACCTATATGTGGAATCAAAAAAAAAAAAAAGAAAAAAAGATTGGCTCACAGAAATAGTAGAAAAGTGATTGCCAAGGGCTGGGGCAGTGAGGGAAATAGAGCTTTAAAAATGTACAAATGTTATAAGATGAATAAGTCCTAAGGATATAATGTGTAACATGGTGACTCCAGTTGATAACATACTGTATGACTGAAATGTGCTGAATAGAATTTAAATGTTGTAACCCACGTCCCCAAAGATACATATATGAGGTGATGGATGTGTTAATTAACTTGCCTTACATAATGTATACATATATCAAATTGTCATGTTGTATACTTTAAGTATCTTACAAATTTTTTTGTCAATTAACACCTTAGAGCCAAAAAAAAAAGAATAAAACATTTGCTTCTGGGAAACAGGATTTAGGAATAGGATTGAGCTGCTTTGTAGCATTTTGAGTTCTAAAACCATGTACATGTATTTCTGATAAAAATGAAAATTAAATTTAAAAAGCTATTTATAAGACCGATTTCATAAAAATGAATATCTAAATGGAGTAAAATCCAAATGGCAACTGTAGTGAAGCCTTTGTGCCTCCTAGAGGACAAGTAAGTAACACCCCTGGCAGAATGCCATGCCTGGTTCTTCCTGGGGAAGTGTGGATCTCAATAATCTTCCCAAGCCTCCCTGTCAGGAGGCAGCATGGTGCTAACTAAGGTCATGGCTTCTGGAGCCAGAAAGACTTGGGTTCACGGCAGCACTACTGTGTGACTTGAAGGTTAGTTATTTAACCTCCGTGAGCCCCAATTTGTTCATATATAAAAGTGAGGATAATATTTTTTGTAATTATAAACCCCTAAGAGTATTAAACTATGACTCTTTTTCTGAGGATTAAATGAGATAATACATGTTAAAGCAAGGTGCCTGGCACATAGCCATTATCAATATTCTCTAGTGCTATATTTATATCTAGAGACATTTTTTAAAGGTGCTTCTATTACTGGGGAATTTGACCAACATGGCCATAGAACTCTCAAGACAGAGCTCTACGTCCACATTCTGTTGTGGTTGTAAAGTTTATAACAAAGACATAGCACATAGCTAATGGGTTATTGGGAAGAATAATATTTTAGCAGATGAAGCTTCCTACCATCAAAATAGCTCCATAGGCTAAGAAAAAAAGACTTCTAAGGTTTTCCTGAAGAATCTAGGAAGCTCTAAGTTATTAATTATCCCAAAGGAATGGGATGATAAAGAAGAGGGTAGAGTTTGAGAAAAGCAGAAAATCAGCATAAGAATTAAATATCAATTTATAGAAAAGTGAAAAAGTAAGGTTTCAAAAGTGGGATCTGTGGTTCATGGTCAGAGACAGGGAAACTCCATCTAGCCTAAGACTGCTCTTCAGGTCTGGTTACACAGACACGTCTGTCATTTCCTGCCTTCCCTTCCTCATTTCTCTCAATAACCAATTCTCTCCATTTTGCCAATAATGTAGAGCTGATATAGTTTTCATTATTTAACAAACTTTTAATATACTCCCATTTATTTAAAAAGCTGGTTTTCACTCTTAACAAAAGCCTCATAATACCCCAGGCAACCTGCTTTCTGTGTAGAAAGGCCACCCTGTAGCTGTTTGTTTGTATTTGTTTGGTTAGCTAATTTTACTCCTAGTGCCGTCTTGAAATGTTTGGGCCTCGTTCAGGTGGAGCATCAGTCAGGGGGAGTGAAATGGCAAAGTAGAATGAGAGAAAAAGAGTAAGGGGCACTCAAGTAGAAAAATAGTAATCTAATCAATCAGTTCTTCAAGGACACTGCAAAATTATGGTAAGTGTTTCTAGATTTCTGCCACATGCAGATCTTGTGCTGATCTGGGAATGTAGATAGGAGTGAAAAAGCAGAGCAGCGGAGACTTAGAGGACAGAGTAAGTCCTAATCTGGGGAAAGGGGCAGAGCATCAATAGGCATCAAGTATCATCAGCCAGCTGCCTAGGGACATTTCTTGTGTCTCCCATTTCTGTGGGGGACACAAATTTCAAATCTGGGCTGTACTTTAATTCTATAGTGTTGCTCTGAGTTTCTGGCACCTCATCTCCTAGGTATTAAAAAATTTTAAGTGAAAAATAATGACTATGGTGATGTAAAAAGAATTGTTCTCTTTGTATAGACTAGTGGAGTTCCGTGCT